GCTCAGTGAGGCTGTTGGGGGGCAGCTCCCTGTACTCGGGAGCTGGAGAGGGCTCCTTTCTGCATGATCCTTGAGCACAAGGATGTGGTCACACTCTCTGCAAAGACACATCCCAGTGCTGCTTAGCAAGATGGCAATCATACCAACTCATGCACATTCCACTGAGATGAACTTTGGGGATCCTGAGCTCACCATCACCAGAGCCTGGAGGGCTGTTCGGCTCAAGGGGCTTCCAGAAACACCTCCTGCTCCTGCTCCAGCCTGACACAGCCTCACAACGTGGCCTGCCTTGTCAAGCACCAACCCAGAACAAGCTCCAGCTCTTCTGCAGAGCTCCCTCCGGGTAGGGCACCCTCCCAGCCCCGCTGGGCACCCCTGGGGACAAGCCACTCAGTAGCACCCAGCCTCAGTCTCTGCACCTGGAAGAATGGGGGGCTGAGCTGAATGTCGTGAGAACCCTTCAAAGACTCATCTTTCATGAACTCAATGTTCTAGAAAGTCCAGACGCAAAAGAAGCGCTTTCATTGGGGTAGGAAAAGAAGCTGCAGGAGCTCAGCAAAGCCGAGGTCCCAGGATCCGCAACCAGGACGATGATTCAGAAGTACAGCATGGGGCGTGGATGAGCCACGAGCCACAGGGCATGCCCCCCCATCATGCCTCCACCCGTGGAGCCCCTTCCCACGCAGGCATCTGGTTTCTGTTACTGCTCTGCTGTTCTGAGTCACCAGTGTTGCCCACCCTTCTGGATCAGACAAAGGACACCTCACTACCTCTCATCCAGGCGGCAGGTGCGCCCATTACAGCCCCTGCGTTCCACGTGCTCAGCCAATATTCCAACAAACAGGATTGCTGTCTGTGTCGGGCCCTTAGCTGCCATCTGACCGACAGCAACAAGGTCAACCAGAACGGATTCCACAGAATTCTCAGACCTGAAGGAAAAACATCTGGGTGCTACAACTGAGCTCGAACTTTTTGAGGAAAGGAGAAGAGCAGAGGGCCTGACAAGGGGTGGAGCTCGAGTGTCAGGAACAGGGTCCAGCAGTGTGGGTGTGGCAGGCAGGTCCAGTCCCAGCGCCACAAAACCGTGGTGTCACTTTTCATTCAGGCTCTTTTACCCCCAAACACAAATACCAGACTAGGCAAGACGACTTTCTTTAAGAGAAGCGATCAGTGGGGCGCCTGGGTGGCTCAGTCGTTAAGCGTCTGCCTTCGGCTCAGGTCAGGATCCCAGGGTCCTGGGATTGAGCCCCGCATCGGGCTCCCTGCTCCACGGGAAGCCTGCTTCTCCCTCTCCCACTCCCCCTGCTTGTGTTCCCTCTCTCTCTGTCTCTCTCTCTCTGTCAAATAAATAAATAAAATCTTTAAGAAAGAGAGAGAGAGAAGCGATCAAGTCTGCGCAAGTGTTGGCAGTGGAAAGCTGGCTTCTAGCAGAAGTGCCCAGAGGATCACGCCCTGGGTGCTGGGCACTCTGCTCGTCCCTATGTCTCCACTCAGATCATGGACGGACGTGTAGCTTAACTCAAACTCACAAGCCTCACCGCTTCTCAAACGAATCTGTCCGTGCCCTCCTGTGTTTTAGGACGGTGCCTGAGGGCAGACTAAGACAGTCCAGCCGGGGATGTCTCCTCCCTACTCAGCCCCAGCAAGGACTGTCTGACCTCAGCAGGGGCAGCGTGGACTCCCCTAGCCTGCAAGATGGCACATCTGCCCCCCCCCTTTCCCCACACAGGCAAGAGGCCACAAGGGCATGAGGAGCCGGCTGAGAGCCTACAGACACCACCTTCACCTGAAGCCGTCCTGTGGTTCCAACACATTCTTAAAAATCCCAGTACGTCAAGACCCAACTTTACAAAAATATAGGTACAGGGCACCTGGGTGGCTCAGTTGGTTAAGTGACTGCCTTCGGCTCAGGTCATGATCCTGGAGTCCCGGGATCGAGTCCCGCATCGGGCTCCCTGCTCGGCGGGGAGTCTGCTTCTCCCTCTGACCCTCTTCCCTCTCGTGCTGTCTCTCTCTCATTCTCTAATAAATAAATAAAATCTTTAAAAATATATACATATATATAGGTATAAACTTTTACTTTATAAAAGCCACACATTTTATTCTGGCTACAGAACTCTCTTTTTCACAAAACCTTTTAGGAACATGTATGGGACAAGCACCTGGGCCCTTCCCATACTGGCTTCTGAACTAGCAGCTACAGATCCACCTCATCGGGGGCCTGGGGCCATCTTGGGGTCACACACAAAGGGGGAAGCCAGGGCCCCAAGGAGGACGAGAAGGAACACGGGTCTGGCCACAACTTTATGGCAGCCTACCTGCACCCTTGAGCTGTCACACAAGCAAACTGCTGTAACTCAGAAGTAAATTTCAACAGATGCTTTCGTGGAAACTCTTGGCCTTTTGCTTGGAAAAAATCACTCTTAAATGCTAACAGGCTCCAAATCACCACAAGTCAAGGTGGAGACACACAGAAGGGACAGGGCATGCACTCTTGGATATCCGAGCATCTGTACTGAGCCGCCAAATGATGTGCAATAACCACCTGACACAGTCCCTTGGAATAGAGCCTTTTCTCCTACAAATAGGACGACAATTTAAAAATACTCTTCTCGAAGAGGTAATAGATATTTAATGAAAACAAACTGACCTCCACTGGGATCACAATTCACACTTCCACACCCAGCCCCAGGGCCAGAGTGGAGGAATAATGACCACCAAAGCAGGCAGAAACCATCCTAGGCGAGCCTACAACCTCATGTCCTTGTCTTTGCAACTCAGAATAATCTAACAGAAGCGGTTCACAGTTGCCTTGGTAACCCAAGGGATTTAAGACATTAACAAAAGTACACAGCCGAAATCACTTGTTGGATTCTAAAAACACCTTCTGCTTGACAACTGCATTTAAAACCTCAAACCCACAGGCCTGAGGAGCAAACATTCTTCACTGTGCAGATGGGCCCTCGAACTGTAAGGCCTCCAGCATCGCAGCCTGCTGGGCGGCTCGCGGCACCCAAGCAGGTGCCCCAGGACGTGACCGAGGCACTGACCACCCCAGAAGGTTCCGCACAGAGCGTCTGTCCTTAAGTCATTCGCCAGGGACTGCTGCTTCTCAGAGTTTAGTCAGAGTTGGTGACAGATTACAAACAAAGTTTGGAGCATACAGAGTACACCTCTCCCTACCAACAGCTAACAGGGAGACAGGCAGGCGGCTTTTCTATCAGCTTGGAAACTTCACCTTCTTCTCAGCTCAGTTAAACTCCAAAAGCTGTGGGGTGCTGCCCGTCACAGACATTTACAATGCCTGGACACACTTTTGGTTGTGAGCAAACTCGGGGATGGGTTGCTATTGGCATCTAGTGGATGGAGGTCAGGGATGCCGCCTCCATCCTAGAGTGCCCAGGACGGTCCCTGTGGCAGAGTCATCCAGCCCAAGGTTAAAAAACCATGGTTCAGCCAACTTGTACTAAACATACAGGGGTCTGGCCATGTGCTCGGGGCTGGGAACACACGGGAACAGAGAACGACAAGGAATAATACAGGGCTACAGTGCATCTCAGGGAGGCACTGCTTAATGGATACAGAGTTTCAGTTTGGGATGATGGAAACCTTTTGAAGATAAACAGTAATGATGGTTGCATAACAATGTGAATGTATTTAATGCCAATAAATTATATACTTAGAAAGGGTTAAAAGAGCGAAGGTTATGTCATATGTGTCTTACCACGATAATAAAAGCTAGTGTATTAACAGCAGAGAGGAGCCCGGGCTCATCCAGGGGCCCCACTCGCCCAGCCCAGGAAGCCTCTGGGCAGGGAAGTGGGCAGGCGCCCCCCCCACCCAAGCACAAGATGTTTAGCATCCGTGACATTTTTCAGGACTATTACCCCAGTTTGCTGCGTTCACCTCAGCCCATTCCCATGTTCCAGATGATTGCTGACCTTCCTGGAGGGCCCTCCCCAGGACAAGAACTTATAAGATGCCTCCATCCTGCTCTGGACCAACTCTGTTCCACCAAATGCCTTTCCTCGTCCCTCCCCACCCCACTGCACTGGGGCTGGAGGGAGCCGGGTCCCCCGTCTGCCTCGGAGAAGGGTTAGCACAGCCGTAAGTATTACATGCTCAGCACCAGGAAGGGCACCCGGTGTTTCGGTAAATGTCTAGTTTGTTATCCACTCGTCTGGGAGACAGACACAGAACCGTCATCCAGACCATGAGGACCAGATTCAGCAAAGCTAAGCATGGAGCCACGCTGACCCTAACGCGGGGCCAGACGTGTGGTCACGGCGGGGGGGGGTCCTCTGTGCAGCAACACCCAGCAACTGCAAGAAAATGACACGTCTGCTTGAACCACCGGAGCCGTACTGGTTGGAAACAAGGGGACATCCCTCACTGCGAGGGGTGCTTTACCGCCAGAGGCCTTCGGCTCCCCCTAGGTCAAGATAAGCTCTTGGCCAGGGACAAAACACAGGCATGTGACAGTTTGCTCAACATCCACAACAATGACCAAAACTCACGTCTCCTGGAGAGAAAACCCAGGACTGAGGCCGCGGGACGGTGAGTGTCTGAGACGTCCCACCTTCATGTCACCTCACCTGAGGCACCTTTCCTTTTAACATTTTAACGTTTCAATCATTTAAAATGAAGATACCCTCACCAGTGTTTACGAAAGGCTCCCCTGTAAAAAGGAAAGCAGACCCTTCAAACTGACCCCACTTTTCCAGCTGCTGACCCCTCAGCTTTAAAGAAGCCTTACCCCAGGCGGCCCCTGTGTGCCGGTGACACGGGCATCGTACTGCTGGGGTCCCCAAAGTCCTACTCCCTGGGCTTGGACCAACCTACCGCGACCAAGACGGCCCACGGAAGGCACCGGCGTGGGCCTGGAATACGCTGCTTCACCCACATAACTAAGGGCCACAGGGCCACCGACGTGCAGCGCTTTGGGGCCACGGTGGCCCAACAGGGTCTCAGCCCCTGCCCGTAAAAAACAAAAGGCTTACTTGAGTCTCGGCTGCTGAACGGCCACCCAGACGTCGGAAGGAAGGAGGCCACCGGGGAGCCGGCCCGGCTATCGTCCTCCACCTGCTGTGTGATATGCCGGACTGTCTCTTTGTTCTTCCGATTCTTCCTTCGACCTGTGGGCTGCCAGCCATCGCCTCCAGCCTGCTCTGAGAAAGAGTTCTGTATCACACCATCCCTGGCGGAAGGCAGCTCACTCCCTCCATAATGAGACGGCGAGATCTGCTCTTCCTTGACCCGCAGAGACCCGTAGCCCACATCCCCAGGCCACAGCGACTGCGAGGAAATGTCATCGGGACCGTCGGCCTTGGGCTCCTGGTCCTCCTTCCCGTAGCTGCTTCCTCCCTCGTGGCAGCTGGTGATGGCCGAGTCTCCGGAAGAATTGGCAGGACTCGTGCGCCGAGCCAACCACGGGGAGATGCTCCTTCCGGCCATCACAGCCGAGATCAGCGCGTCCGTGCTGCTGCCGGGTGGGGCACTAATCTCAAACTCCGAAAGCTCATCCGAGGCATCTGGCTTGATGCTGATGTCCAGCGCGGCCTTGATGAAGTCGTGACAGGCCTGCACGATGTCCGTCATCTGCAGGAAGCTGGCCGCGGACATCACCTCAATGACATTCCTGCTGGTGAGGGCCAGATGTGCAGAGTACATGAAGTCAATGATGGCCTTGAAGCCCTGGGCCGTGACGATGTCCAGGTGTGTGACCGTGGCCTGGTCGGACGCCTTCTGCACCTGGCAGTAAAGCGTCTTAAAGTAGCGGCTGCTGCCAAGCAGGACGTTCTTGTGCGCCTTGAAGACCTTGCCCTCAACCACGACACAGACATCACAGAGAACGCCGTGCTGCCTCTGCTCATTGAGCTCACGGAGCAAGTGCCGGTAGTGGGACGCGATTTCCATGTCTTCCTTCCGGTTGTTCATTGGGAAGTCTTGGTGTTGCTGTTCTACAGACTCTGCAGGGGCAAGAACACGCGAGTTAGCCACGTGGTCGACACAGACACGCCCGTGGAGGTTCAGCGGAGCGCACCCTCCTCGAGAGCCTGGCCGCCGTGCAGGGCCAGAGCCTATGCCTCTGGCTGCCGGGCAGCCACCAGGCGGGTGGACCTGAGCAGCATCTGCAGTGAGTTCATGGGTTCAAGGCTGACCGCCGCCGTAACCGGCTTCTGAACAGAACACTACACACGGCGGCCGCCTCTCAGCACAGAAGGCAAACGCCCATTAGTTGCTGAAGTGACTTTCTTACCCAAATGTACAATCTAGGTGAAATAACCCAAGGGAGCCTCAACCCGCACCCTCGAGGACACATCTTTACAAATAAAACGGGCGCCTGGGTGGCTCAGTCGGTGAAGCGTCCAACTCGGTTTCAGCTCAGGTCATGATCTCAGGGTCCGGGGATGGCACCCCACGTCGGGCTCTGTGCACAGCGGGGAGTTGGCTTCGCTCCCTCGGGGGGCACCCCCTTCCCGCCGCCTCCCTGCTGGCTCTCTCTCTAAAATAAATAAATCTTTTTAAAAAATAAAAACAAAACAAAACGAGGGCTTCCTACACAAACAAAACCCATAGGGCAGAAAGGCCTGGAAGCAGACATTACAGCCTCAGCCCTACAACCTTCCGAAACCCCAGCTCAAACCAGCTCAAGGGAGGAGGCCTCCAGGGCCGTAGCGCCCAGAGGCACCAGAGGTTCCAGCTTGGGAAGCACTCTGGTCTGGTGCCCTCCCGCAAGGCGCTCTCCTGATACCATTTCCTAATCTGTCTGCCATGTTCTCTCTGCTGCTACTGTTAGCTTCCGGGGGCTTCTAGAACACAGTGCCCCAGACTGGGCGGCCAAACAGAGAACTGGATTCCCACACAGCCCGGAGACCAAAGGCCCAGATGGGCTCCCTCCAGGGCTCCACGGAAGGCCCTGTCCAGGTCTGTCCTGTCTTCTGGGGGCGGCTGGCAGTCCCTGGCCATCCTTGGACGCAGAAGCATCACCACCCGGTCTCCATGTTCCCACACCTTCTCCCTGTGAGCCTGGGTCCCAGTGTCCCCTTCTTATAAGGACACAGGTCATATTGGACACCCTACTCCAGAACAACCTCATCGTAACTAATCACATCCAAATTAGATCACAGTCCACGGCACTGGGCATGGAGGACACCGTCGCCCCATAACACTCCCTGAGAAAGACAAGGTTGTTAGAGGCTGATCTTCCCGCTTAAGTACACCATTTTCCAGCTGGTTAATCAAGCAGGAGCCCTCACCAAAAATGCCAATATGTGTTTAATGGGAGAGAACTGTGCTGTTCAAATGTGGGGGCATCTGCCTCTTTCCTGTAAGGGGCGGCTCCCCAGGACTCGGCTGGGTCCACCTCACACACTTTTTTTTTTCCCTAAAGATTTTATTCACTCATTTGACAGAGAGAGAGACAGCGAGAGCAGGAACACAAGCAGGGGGAGGGGCAAAGGGAGAAGCAGGCTTCCCGCCGAGCAGGGAGCCCGATTCGGGGCTGGATCCCAGGATCATGACCTGAGCTGAAGGCAAATGCTTAACAACTGAGCCACGGAGGCGCCCCAACCTCACACACTTCTTTATTGACTCAGAGCTGTCACAACACACACACCTTCCTCTGGTCATTACAATAAGTTTCCAAACACCACCTGAAATCATCTTAAAAATGCCCTGTGAAGTAAAAGAGGAAGGAAAACTTCTAAACTCATTCTATGAGGCCAGCATTACCCCAATACCAAAACCAGGTAAAGACACTACAAAAGGAGAACTACAGGCCCAATAACCCTGATGAACAGAGATGAAACTACACCCCCCACTAATACCAGCAAACCAAATCCAACAATACATTTTAAAAAAAGCATTCACCATGATCAAGTGGGATTTATTTCTGGGTTACAGGGTGCTTCAATATTCACAAATCAATCAACATGATACATCATATCAATAAGAGAAAGGATAAGAACCATATGATTATTTCAAGAGATACAGAAGAAGCATTTCACAAAGTATAACACCTACTCATGATAAAAACTCTCAACAAGTAGGTTTAGGGCACCTGGGTGGCTCAGTCGTTGAGCGTCTGCCTTCGGCTCAGGTCATGACCCCGGGGTCCTGGGATCGAGCCCCCATCGGGCTCCCTGCTCGGCAGGAAGCCTGCTTCTCCCTCTCCCACTCCCCCTGCTTGTGTTCCCTCTCTCACTGTGTCTCTCTCTGTCAAATAAATAAAATCTTAAAAAAAAAAAGACAAGTAGGTTTAGAGGGAACATATGTCAACATAATAAAGCCCTTCTATGAAAAACCCACAGCGAACATCATACTCAATGGGGGGGGAATTGAGAGCTTTCCCCCTAAGGTCAGGAACGCGGCAGGGATGTCCACTCTCATCACTGTTATCCAACATAGTACTAGAAGTCCTAGCCACAGCAGTCAGACAAGAAAAAGGGATAAAAAGTATCCAAATTGATAAGGAAGAAGTAAAATTTTCACTATTTGCAGATGACATGATGCTATATATATAGAAAACCCTAAAGACTCCACCAAAAAACTACCAGAACTCATAAATGAATGCAGTAAGTTCATAGGATACAAAATCAATACGAGAAATCTGTTGCATTTGTATACACCAATAATGAAACAGCAGAAAAAGAAATTAAGAAAACAATCCTCTTTACAATTGCCGCCAAAAATAATAAAATGCCTACGAATAGTTAACCAAGGAAGTGAAAGACTTATACTCTGAAAACTATAAAACACTGATGAAAGAAACTGAACAGGGGGTGCCTGGGTGGCTCAGTCCGCATTCAGCTCAGGTCATGATCTTGGGTTCCTGGGATCGAGTCCCCATATCGGGCTCCCTGCTCAGCAGGGAGCCTGCTTCTCCCTCTCCCTCTGCCTCCTCCCCCTGCTCATGGTCTGGATATCTCTCTCTCTCTCTCTCAAATAAATAAATAAAATCTAAAAAAAAAAAAAAATTTAAGAGGACACAAAGAAATGGAAAGACATTCCATGCTCATGGCTTGGAGGAACAAATATTATTAAAATGTCTATTCTACCCAAAGCTATCCACAGTTTTAATGCAACCCTATCAAAATACCAACAGCATTTTTCACAGATCTAGAAGAAACAAACTTAAAAATTTGGAACCACAAATGCCTCAAATAGCCAAAGCAGTCTTGAAAAAGAAAAGCAAAGCTTGAGGCATCACAATTCCAGACTTCAAGTTATATTACAGAGCTGTAGTCATCAAGACAGTATGGTACTGGCACAAAAATAGACACATAGATCAATGGAACAGAATAGAGCACCCAGAAATAAACCCACAATTATATGGTCAATTAATCTTCAACAAAGGAACAAGAATATGCAATGGGAGAAAGACAGTCTCTTCAACCAGTGGTGTTGGGAAAGCTGGACAGCCACATGCAGGAGGATGAAACTGGACCACTTTCTTACACCACACATATAAATAAACTCAAAATGGACTAGGGACCTAAATGTGAGACCTAAAAGCATAAAGATCCTAGAAGAGAGCACAGGCAGTAATGTCTCTGACATCAGTCATAGCAACATTTTTCTAGATAGGTCCCTTGAGGCAAGGGAAACAAAAGCAAACTAAACTATTGGGCTATATCAAGATAAAAAGCTTCTGCACAGCATTGTAAACAACCGACAAACTAAAAGACAACCTACTGAATGGGAGAAGATATTTGCAAATGACATATCCTATAAAAGACTAGTATCTAAATTACATAAAGAACTTATACAACTCAACACCCAAAAACCAAATAATCCAATTTAAAAATGGGCAGAAGACATGAACAGACTTTTCTCCAAAGAAGACATCCAAATGGCCAACAGATACATGAGAAGATGCTCCACATCACTCATCCTCAGGGAAATGCAAATAAAAACCACGATGAGATACCACTTCACACCTGTCAGAATGGCTAAAGTCAACAACACAAGAAACAAAAGGTGTTGTCAAGGATGCAGAGAAAGGAACTCTCGTGCACTGTTGGGAATGCAAACTGGTTCAGCTATTCTGGAAAACAGTATGGAGGGTCGTCAAAAGATTAAAAATAGAAATACTGTATGATCCAGTAATTCCACTACTGGGTATTTATCCAAAGAATACAAAAACAGTAATTTGAAAGGATACATGCACCCCTATGTTTATAGTAGCATTATTTACAATAGTCAAACTATGGAAGCAGCCTGTGTCCATCAATAGATAAAGTTATTTGTGCATTAAAAAGAAATGGAGTCTAAAATAGGAGTCTGTTACGAAAATATTAAGGGTACATGGAATCTATCCAAGCCCAAAGAAGCTTTAGGAGGATAGCTGAATTTCCGTTACAAAGTTGATAATCTCTCAGCACCAGTAAGGGGCTCCTGGGAGTCCCATCCACCTGACCACAGGTGTCGTGTCGTATAACGGCCTGGCAGGTGAGGTACAGCCTTGAGATGGAAGCATGCTCACCATGGTTCCTCTCTGAGGGCAAGGTGAGCAGAGCACCTGCTGTGGTGGCATAGCCCACGTCATGGAGACATACCTGGCTGCAGACATGCACCTGTGGACAGGTAATCTGTCATCTCTGAATTTTCTGTGCTGCTACATGGAGCACAGGGTACACTCACAAATTCAAGGGCCCGTGTGCAGCACCCTCCGTGTGAAAGGGGCCCTCTCAAAGAGGAGCCTATGGTCCATGAGGAAACACAGATGCCAAGCATCGTAAGGTCAGGGTCTAAGGGCTGTTGCCTGTTACCCAGAGGGCAAGCGGGGCGATCTGTCACGACCCTGGCACCTGAGGCTGCACAAAGGTGCTACAGAAACTCCTGCAAAGTTGCATCCTCTCCCTGCTGTTTTCCCCAAACTTGCATTCTTACTTCTCCTCTAGGTTCCCCACTTACAGCTTGCTGATCGAGAGATACCGTATTAGACAGCATCACTTATAAAACAGAA